TTGTTACTAATAGCTTCTAGCTACCAGTAGTAATGTCCTTGTTACTACTAGCTTCTAGCTACTAGTAGTACTGCCCACCCACTAGTAGTATTGCCCTTGATACTGGTAGCGATGCACTTGTTACTATTGCATTTGTGACGTTCTTCGATCCAAGGAGCTGGAGAGTGATGATATCACAACAGGACCCAAGGCTGGACTTGAGAGAGTACAAAGGACAAAGCTAGTAGCTAAGCTAGAGAGGTAGCTACGGGGGTAGGCCGTAGAGGTAGCTAGTAGCTTAAGTAGCTAGTAGCTACAAAAACGCTACTACATATGGACGCAGGATAGCTCGCGCTCCTTCAAGGAAGCCCCCCCGCCCCCCTCAAGGCTGGCGGGGGAAGCTTCCTTGAAGAAACGATTTTCTAGATTGTTAGGAAAACTTAACTATGAAGAGGAAGGAATCAACCAGAAGAGACAGTGGCACCAGGTCAGGATCGGCAAGCACAAGCAAGTACAGCCCTACAGCCTGCTTGTACTATACAAAAAAGCACATAAAAAAGGCAGCCTAAATGTCAAACAAAAAACTGAACCAGAACAAACGAACATAAACATGTAACACAATGCGTAAAATTTCTATGCAGGTGTCAATATGTGCTAGTGAATATGGGAGCTGTCCAACCCCGTGAAGTGTCACAGAGATGCTATCCGGGTGGTCCCCGGTTTCAGGGGTCCAGAAGCTCCGCAAGCTTCATTCAATGTTGGAAATCCAGATCTTTTTGGCAAACGAAACGAGCAAGTTGAAACATGGCACGAAGATTGAACCTGGAGGGGCCTTCGCCGAGGGGATTTCAAAAAAACTGAAACCTGTGCTAACAGGTGCTGTGAGACATCCAAGGAAGATGGGTCAAGGTTCAATGGTAAGGAGGTCGGCAACAGGTTTAAAGTACAGACAACAATATACATTAGGCTGGCCGAGTATATAATATAGTTGACACATGTTGAGGCGAGCTTTTGAAGCTTCTGAAATTCACGTGTTTTGTTAAACAGATAAGTAAAGTGGGTCCTTGGCAGCCTCTCTCTTTGATCATAGGTGAAGGACAAAGCAACCTTCTATGTGGAAGATACCACCATGAATGCTCCTCGGAAGATCATTTTTTTGTTGGCTCTTGCGACAATTGTGCACATGATTGCAGCTTCGGGGTTGCCGAGGGCAAACAATCCTACCAAGGTCATGAGCTCCAAGTACAACACCTTCATGCCCCTGACTGATGGTGGCCTTCAGTACCTCTTGGCCGGAACTCGGAACGTTTGTCATTGGATCAAATTGCCACCACACAAGGAGTCCTCAGCTGGTTAGCAGTATCAGACACCTTGTTGTGCTTTGGTCAAGTCAGTGAATGTATACGGATATACAAGGCAATGATTTGGGCCAGTTGGCTGTAGACTAGTGTAACAGCAGATACTATAAAGCATTCATGTGACGTGTTACACTCATGTTGATTGTTGAGTCAAACCTAGCTTTGATCGTTGTGAGT